ACAAAAAAAGAAGAAGAGAAGAAAAATAAATAATTTTAGGCATGGCTGGAGAATAGTCACACACTTATTGTCTAAAGAATGTGAAATGCGCTTGTTATAGGTAAATATTAAGATACGATGAGGATGCTCTCTTAAACAAAGTGTGGGCATTACAAAAAGGAGAAATAAAATCCAGCACACACGACGACTTGAGCTTCCCACAAAACTGCGTTGCGGTTTGACAAAAGTTTTCCTGTTTTTATTTTTATTTCATTTCAAAATTCACTTAATTAAAATAAGTTATTGGTGTTTCTAATAGTGTCTAAATTAATAAAGCAACTCATTTTTCGACTGTTATTATAGCAACTGAACGCAAATCAAGAATGCGTAAAAAGCTGCCACATGCATTCACAAGCACATATTAATTGTGTTCCCGGTGAGATGCCCAGTAAGCTCCGTTCTGCAGAAATGTCAGGCACTGTTTCAATGAACGGTTTGTGTGAAGCTGTCTGCACAACAATATACACCTGCAGGAAAATAAATAATTCAAGCTTTAAATGGAACCAGTTCTGAAGGGAACACATTTTGAAGAAAAAAAAACCGCATCAAATTGTACCCAAGGAGTTTTCCTGATCATTTTTAGGAAAATCATTAATTCAACTGCCTTTTTTCACCTGTGGAATTTGTGAACGTGTGGGATATATTGTTGGTGTTGAAAATGATGCTGATGATAATCCGAGTGATGGTGATGGATAGGAAGACTGAGAAGACGAAGAAAAAAAAACCGCTCAGGGTGTGAGATTTTGTCTTTCTTTTTTGTTAAAGCACCTTCAGTCTACCACCAGCATGGAGCAGAATTACGCCAAATTAATTTCACAGTTTGGAGCCAGCTTTGCCAAGTACGTGTTTGAAGTTTCGGTACACACACGCAACCCCCACAACCAGACAGACAGATACACACTCACACACGATTGTCTTAAAAAAAAAAAAGAAGGATTTATAGGAAGGAAAAAACATCTCCATGAGCGGAGGCAGACCATGACAGGCCTGAACGCCTTATTAATGCAAACATTTATCACTTATTTTAACTAAATATATGGCGTTTTTACATCCACCTAAGCTCATATCCAATGTGTTCAATATAGCCACCATCACAGGAGCAGATATGATAATCATCGTTATGAGGTCTGAGTTACGCACACTCGTACGCAGGTGCGCCCCTTTGCGCGCAGAAGACAAGTGTGAGCAAACAGACGTGCGCAATTGGCACTGTCAATCTTAGCTTACTATAAGCAATTTCTTACACACACACACACACACACCTATGGGGCTCTAAACCTAGCACTTGCTCTCTAACTTAATGCGTGCGTACACTGACTTGTAGTCACAGTCAGGCTCCTCCAAACGACTCGAGAGTGACGCGCCAGTAACATTAATACTGCGACCCCTGGAATACTGACAATCACTGCGGTGCACCTAATGGGGATCTTAATAAAGTATCTATGTACCCCAAGTAACAAATCAATACAAGATGTAGGCCCGTATCGACCAATACCTATGAAGTAGCTCTGATGAAATAATGCGTGAGGGTTTTGGAAGGCTGAAGGGGGGAGGGGGAAGGGGGGGCTCTAATATCCAGGAGAGTGTTTGCGGTCTCTGGCTCAGCGCTCATGTCCGTCTTCCCCTCTCTCTCTCTCTGTGTGTGTGTGTGAGTGTGTGATCGTAGACATTAAGACAAATCAAACTGCAGGCTTTAAAAGGTGATGTCTGTGTCTGTCTTTCTTTTTCTTTTCTTTTTTAAACCGCTGGGTTGGTTTGATTCCCACCCACTTGCCCACTTCTCCTTGACAGTTTTGTCGTCTTTCGCCGATAAATACTTTTTTTTTAATGACAGACTACACGCGCCAGTCGTGACGTTTCTGTGTCCAAACAGTAGCTTGCGATCAGGTTTATTTGGCATGCAATATTACAGCTATCATAGGAAATATGGGCTGATCCACTGGCGTTGAATAGTATTCCTGTGCGTTAAAATAAAACTGAAATAGCCTTCTGAAAATGGGGGTGGAATGCAACATAAGGTATATTCACAATTTAAAAAAAGAAATATCTACCCCTATACGTCACCACAAAGCACTGCACCCCTCCACAAAGTCTGGCTCTGTTTTTTCCCCTAATGAACTTTGCCATGTTGGTGTTGATTGGCCCTTTTTCCTGCTTTCCCCTCTTATTTCTGTCTCTTTTTTTTTGTTTATTTCACTCACAACAAATGAACTCAATGAAGTTAGGAAGTCTGGTTAAATTGGACGAATCAAAATCGTAGTATTCTTGTCTAGGGAGCTGTTATGATCTGCAGTTTTTTTCTTGTATTGGTCTGTGTACACTAAATGATCTGTGAAGGTCAAAAGCAGGGGCCTTTGATTTGTTTTCTTACAGCACCTAACTCCGCTTCACCTCCAAAGATAAAGGGACAAAACGCGCTGATGTTTTTCAGAAACGTGTTCATATTTTTTGTCATAATTAGAGCCGTGGGTCACGCGCGACAATGTAGAAATAATTCTTGGTCATCCTCTTACTTTTCTACCCTCCCCCCTTAAGATAAACTCCGGACTCCTCAGGAAAATCCCTGCTCCCTCTGATCATGAATCTACAACATCACATCTCTCCTCCAGGCAGAGGTGGCCAGTGGCCGCACACACCTCCTCCATTCACACAGACAGACAAACAGACGCAGTGGGATGCAGGGTGGATGACAGGTGCTTAAAACACACATTACTTGTAAAGTTACAGCCTAATAGCAGTCGGCAGCTGCTGTCTTGGTTGTTTGAGGAGGCGCCTGTGCGTGTGCAGCGCCGGTGCCCCTTTTCTCCCTTTGTGTTAAAGTGAGCTGAGGTCTCCGAGGTCTGCGAGCTACAGTTCCAGGGATAGCGGGTAGATGGCACAATTTTCTTACATTTATGGGCAGAATGCAGGAAGCCTGGTGCACTAAGTAGTAGGCGTGAAAGCCAGTGTTTTTAATGGGCAAAGAAAAAGTGGAAGAATGCCCAGAAAATAAAATAAATGTAAAAAAATGAATTAATTTTAAAGGCCTAAAAAAATTAATCAGGCATTTTCATAATTTTAAATCCATTATGTTAAAGAAAAATAATTAGAATAGACCATATAATACTCATGATATGTTATCTTTTTTAAGTGCACTAACATAAGGAACAGGTGCCCCATCTTTACTCTGCGTTTCACGTTTATGATATAACGTAAATGAGCTGCTATGCGTCATCCTATGCGCAATAAAGCGCATGCTGTATGGGCTAATTTGTCATAGTGATAGTGCCAAGGTGCAAATAATGTGCATATCTGTCGCTTAAATGTGCGGCTGCATGTATGATCGCGTGCGCGCGCGTGTGTGTGTGTGTGTGTGTGCGTGTGCGTGCGTGTGTGTGTGTGTGTGTGTGTGAAAGAGGTTCAGGGAGCAAACCATATTCTTATCTTATTAAACAAATAGCCCCACTAATAGCTTGTGAGCCCTGAATCAGTTCTCAGCTTCGGCGTGTAAAACCCAAACAAACTGACTCTACTGTACACACATAGTTTTTTTTTTTTTTTAAAGCTACCAGCTCGTGTGTCAAAAAGTTGTCACGTCACACAGGCGTAAATAAAAGTGACGTCGCGGCTGGTTACACCTCATTAGTTTTCTGTACAATGCTAATAAATGAGCAGAAGTACAAATTATTAGAGTTGAGCATTTACATCACGCGTTGTCAAGTAACATCAGCCCAATCTGACCCGTAAATATCCCCTTTTTGGAGCGAATCATTTCTGGGTATTTTACGTCCCGGCTCATCGTGTGCTCCTATTTGGAACTGCGAGTTTTTTCTTATTCTGTAAGTACTTGGAATCATATTGGCTCACTGATGATGGAGAGTGTGTAGTGTGGTGTCCACCCTTAATTATCATAATGGGGCTCCGTGTGATATACCCCTCAGAGACAGTTTGCTTGGACAGGCAGTGAAAGCATCACTGTATGGATAAATAGCGCTTTCAGCAAGAATCCTAAGATAAAAGACCATCAGCATCACATCAAATCATCATTTTCATTGTTACCAACAGCAACAAAACCACACAGACACACACATATAAAGACACACACACCAGCAGCAGCAGCAGCAGCAGCAGCAGTATAGCATCAGAAAGCGTGGTGGAGTTGGCTTCCTCACCATCCTGATTAAGCCTCTATAAAACAAGGCTAACTCTATTTCAGGCCTAACCCTCAACTAAGCCAATACTACTAATAATTACTGATGGGTCAAAGGTTTATAGCATCACAAAAGCACGCGCGGAAAGAAGTGGAATTTAAACCCATCAAGCTTCTTGGATATTTTTCACTTGCATAAACCAAAAAGATTCAAAGTTTGTTATCACTTCTTGTTTACTTCAGCAGATGAAAATGTTGGACATGAAAGCGTAAAAACGCAACCGGCGAGAAGTAGAGAGAGAAAGCAATTCGATTTTCAGTTTGTGATTTCACTTATTTCTCTTTCAATAAAACGCAGTTATTATCCAGATGATTTGTGTGTTCATGATGTTTACTGTGTGAGTTCATCATGTTAATATGTGTGTGCGCGTAAACGTGAGGCTCTTTGCGCGTAAAGCGATGAGGAAGCTGAGTTGGTTATTTCTGCACCCTAAGGTGTCATGTCTTCTATATGGGGGGGGGGGGGGGGGGGTCAGCTGTTGTATCTTATTCTGAAGTTTAACACTCATTATTTTCCAAACAGTCTCGTAAAATGACCGATCGGCGTTTTCTTTTCTGTAAAAAGAATCTTAACCTTGTGGCATAAAGTGAAGCGGGCCTGATGGATGATTGATTAATTATTTTGTAATTCATTAATCACTTTCATGGGGCAAAAGGGCAACATCATGCCACAGCAAATTGACTCCAGTCCCCCCCCCCTCAACCCACACACACACACAAGGACAAGTTCACACGCAGGTTGGCGAAGTTAAAAGAAAAACATAGAAAAACCTTTGTTTTCAAATTCATAAATTATAATTTAATACCAAGAACAAATTTACAGCAGAATGCTTGTTTACAATAAGCTAACACAAACAAACAAGAATTGTGTTCAACTATAAACTTTCACACACACTCACATATATCACTTGCAATTAATAATAATAATAATCATAAAAAAAGTATCTATACGTTATCAATACCCTGCAGTCATATATTTTTATATATTTATATAAAAACGTGGGTCAGTTTAAACTGTTCATAATTACAATCATGTATCATTCTCTGGTCCACATGTGGCTCCGCACAGCCAAAGATCAGTGTTCAATCAGTGATCCCTTTTAATTCAACCACAGCGTGCTGTTTCAGTGTGGCGAAGAAAAGCCTCAAAACAGCTTCCAAATACACGCACACACACATTCGCTCTCACACACCACAACGGCACCTGTCAAAGAGCAAAAGGAGCAATAACACTAAAGTTCAAATATTAACTCCTTTTTTTCCAAACCTGCTCACCCTGTTTAAGTCTGTAGCCTAATAATGAACGCTCGTTTCTTTTCTTTTTTTTTTGTTTCCTTAAATACAAGGGCTAGTGTACTGAATGCACAGATTATATCTATACAGTCAAAAAAGAGAGAGAGAAAACATTTACATTTATATATCAAAGGTAAAATAGGTTAGCGACCTGTGGCCATGCATTCACAGTCTAAATATACATGAAAAAGAAAACATTTGTAGTAATATGTATATACATTAAAAACAGAACTTTCAGTGCTACTAGCTAAGTCTGCCACTCAATTTTGAAGACGTTGTATTACCGAGAGAGAAAAAAAAATGGCAACCACAGATTTTTCTTAATCACATATACTTTGTATAAAGGAAAAAAGTCGTTGAAAATGAATTGACCTATATTTACAAGAATACTGCCTCTAATCAGCGTTTGTCACGTGAAATAACACGACTGAAGTTTCAGATCTAATTGTGTTGTTCCCCCCAAAAAAAATGTCGTGCAGGCCTACTTTAACAACGTTTGGATAAGAAATCACATCATGCTTATCAGGCACTTAATGCTTGAAGTGAATAAAGGGTGACATTTCAGGGACGCTTTAATAATACTGCTATTAAACACTACTCCGGCTAGGCTTCAAACTTTTATGACCCTTGACCTCAAAAGTTTTTTAATTTTTTTAATTTTTTTTTTTTTTTTAGAGAGAAGTCAGGTATGATTTCAGTGCAGCTTGAATCACTGCGCACGCTCTTATGTGCACGTGTCACGCTTAAAGAGCAACAGCAGGCTACTTGTTGGATTTTTATTTGTATTATATCAAATTGGGGAACTGTTTATATATAGTCAAACTAGATGAACTGGGAAAGACCCTCCAGCAAACAATTTGGAAAATATATTTTCTAAAAAAAAAGAAAAAAAAAAAGTATTTTTCACTGGGTCATAAAGTTGAACATGAACTCCACAAACTCCCTCATGGTGTTGGTCATCCTAACAATATAAGTGCGCTTGCAGCATTAAGCCTAGTTTATAAGCCTATACTCCTATTGCTGTGGTTTTAATTCTTTTTAGAACGTTTTTTTCAACATCATTTCACCTTTTCAAAATAAAATCATTGTCTTAGAAAATAACACCACCTGTACTACAGAAATCACATAGGCCGGTTTGGAACCAGAAAGGAGGAACAAAGAAAGTACAAAACACAGCTATACATGGACACAGGACAAGTCATTTAGAGAAAAGAAAAATTCACGTTTTCGTATTTTCCCTTTCTCCAGTTTTTTTCCTTTTTTGAAACCAAATTATCATTTTTAAATGCACTTAATACTTAAATTTTCCTCACGAAGATCAACAAAAATCCCCTCCACCCCCCTCATTTCTTCTTTCATTAGAAAAAATGAATCGAAGCAGGTTGTTCTGGGAGCTTGTTTCTGCCATTTTGAAAGTTCAGTGGATGTCTCAATTTTTTTGGGGGGAGCATTGGGGGGGGGGGGGGGATTCACAGTCATTTACGTCAAAGTCTTTCTTCATGAAAGCCAGCCCCGTGTAACAGCCGGTTGCTTTTTTTTATTCCTTCCACAAAAGCAGCTATAATCATTGTAGTCTTGCAGCCCCGCGACCCTCCTCCCCTTCCCCTCCCCAGCCCCACCTTTTGTTTGTTCGTCTCCTTCTTGGTTTACTGAATTGACATGTAAGGCCAGTTAAAACTGCTCCCCGACAGCAACATATCCCTGATGAGAGTTTCAATGGGGGTTTTACCTACCAATCGGACGAAAAATAACTGTTCTATGACCGAGGAAGAGACTGTGCGGAGGGAAGGCAAGCGGAGTAACAACTTCCCAAAGCGTGTGGGCTGGTTGGGGTACTGGCTCCGGACGTATTCCTCCAGGGCGCACTGGGACTTCTCCTGCAAACTTTCCACATGGGCCACATCTGAGAGGCCGCAAGCATCTGTGAGGGGGGGAAAGCAAATAAACATTAATAAAGTGTTTCTCTCATGAGGAGGCTTTTCCTAGTGGTGATTTACTGGCGACAACTGATAGCCTGTCAGATTAAAAAAAAACATTTAAATGGGCTGTGTTTTATTAATAAAAGTTATTTCACATAGTAATAAATATATACCTGGTTTAAATTCATTTTTCAAAGTCATCATTGAATATTTAGTAATAGTCCTACTTTCAATTTAAAATAACATTGAGCAAGAAGAATTATAAACACACCGTATGGAAATAGTTTCAATGCAATTTCATGACATCGTATATTGCATTGAAAATGACATAATATTTCATGTTGTGTGTGTGTAAAAAGAAGAGAATTCAAAATAAAATGTGAACTCTTGTTTTGCCTGCAGTCAACAAGCAGCAGATGGAAATTTGAGCTTTGCTTCCCTGACATGTTTCTCATTTTTATCGCCATTACAACCCGCTTATTTCCCTCGACAAAGCCACTTAAAAGTGAGCTAAATAATTAAGCATATTCATAGCCAAAGCCTGTGTTTAGAAACGGGCCCTGTCTTTCACAGTCAGAGGCAGTGCGAGGAGGAGAGAGAGGGGGGAGGAGGGTGGGTGGGGGGAGAGAGAGACAGGGAAAGACAGGGAGACCTACTGACCTTTAGTGAGCAGAGATTTAGCTTGGAAAAAAAAGGGCCATAGCCTACGGAGTTGCCGTCATACTACACCACCGGAGACGCATAATCACTATCTGTGCTGCTGCTGCGTGTGGGCGGCTGCTGATTATGTGCCAAAAAACGCTTGTTCGCGCGTTGGTTAACTTTGTAAAGTTTATGCATGACAACAACCCCAAAAACCACCTAAGTAGCAGTAGGCGTGTCATTCAAGCTGCAGCTACACAGCTCAAGTCTAAGCCTCTCTAGGATTCAGGTATGAGGAGGACACATTAAGACATGGCTGCTTTAAAATGAAAATGCAATCACCTGTAATGTGATTTGTACTGAAGAATAGACTAACCATGTGAATCCAGAGGCTGCGTGTTCGCAGGTGTGCTGTCATGTTGAAGACATTCACTCCATAGTGAAACCTTGTAAATCTCTTCCACACATTAGTTATTTTTTTATTTATTTTCGCCATATTGCAGCAGCTAATGTAACCAAATAGCAGCGAGGTTTGGGTCATGACCTAGTTCTGGATCAAGTCCAGAGGCGCCCTGATTCTCACTTTAGGCGCAGAGAATATTCCTGCAAACAAAAAATGAAAGACGCCCCTTCCTGTCACTGCTCAAATGGTCCATATCACACACACACACACACAATATTATTATCCTGACATATTTGCAATTACAGGGTGTGTATGGTTTGTTCTGGGGCTTTTTTCCTCGGACATGTGTGTTCACTAAATGACACGAGGAGCGCTGGGCCCTTCTTTGCTTTTTACTGTGTGCAAATGGCACATTAGGCTTGTCTTTCTTTTTTTTTTCTTTTTTTTCTATTCCCCTCCCCCTCGGAGCCTGACATCATTTATATCTGTCATCCCTACAAACAAGACGTGGGCTTTGCATACATTGATAAATGGCGAAAAATATAATCAAAGTGTAGGAACTCATGTGCAAGCTATTATATTCTTTTAAAAAGGGGGGTTTGGTTTGATTACGCTTGAGGACATTAATGTGAATTAATCAGAATTATATATTAGACCTGAGTGTGTTTTAATGTTGCTGCACTTCCTCGGTTTTTGTTGTCAATTTAATCAAAAATAAAACTTTATTCGTGGTCATGCTACGATTCCTAGTTTATCTGTGTGTGTGTGTGTGTGTGTGTGTGTCAGATAAATCAGTTGATTAATACAGTGATTTTATAAATCAGTAGCCTGAAGCATGTGACCGTGAACGCGGCATTTAGGTGGACATTTAAGCAGGGTGTTTTCCTCTCACACAAGCAGCAACAACCGTCAGCCAGTGTAGATAAATATTTGGGTCAGGGTTGATTTAGCTGATGTCAGTGTGCATGTGATGAGGCATTCACTGAACTTGGAGTGCGCCCGTCTTTTTTGTCTTACCTGTGGTGAAGAGCACAATTGCCTTTAAGCAGCTATATTCAGCAGAGTCAACGTGCAAAGCCTTGAGCTTCTCCACTTGTTCCTGGAAGATCCTAATGTGGTCCATAAAGGCCACCACTCTGTCCGCGGACATGGGGGAGGCGTGCAGGCCAGCCGCCGCCAGGAGAGGAGCCACATGCAGGGGCATGGAGCACTGCGCCGCGTTCAGCACAAATAACTCACTCCACGTCAACCTCAGCAGAGCCACCTGGTCTGTGATCTGCAGGTCTGGAAAGAAGGGAATATTCCTGGCCCACTCCACGGCGCTGAACAGCATCCTGGCTGCTAGTTCACAAATGTTCTCGATGCCCATGATGTTGTTGGGCTGCATGCATTGGCTGCCATACCGGGACGTCGGATAGGGCTCCGCTCTCAACAGAAGAGAGATATATCCGGATAAGTAGGAATGGCAGTGCAGTGGGTCTCCATTTGTCAAGGCGAACTGACCATGATGTGGCTGTGTGGGTGGCACCCGTCCCCTTTGCACGGCTGCAGTAAAAAGAGAAACTACAGATATTGAAGCCTGAATTCTATAAAACACATTATACTCACAAAGAAGAAGCTGGCAAATATTACATCAAATATTCTGAGCCATCAATCAAATGGTTAAGACAATACATGACACCCAGTATCTAAACATACACACCCACACACGCACACACACACACACACACACACACACAGATACATACATACACACACACGTGCATACATACACACACACACACATACACACACGTTATGTTATTGCTGTTTTAAAAAATACAGTAGCATTGTTATTAATGAGGCTGTGGTAGAAATACTAATGTGGCGAAACAGCAGAGGGACGGCTCTAACACGTTAAACACACACCATGTGTATGTCTAGCTTTAAAATGATGTTATTCGGCAACAGCAACATGAGCTGGCTGTGAAGGAACACAAAGAGGGCAAGGGAGACCTTGCATGTTTAACCCTTAACCTACTTAGCAATTCATCTCCTTCTACCATTCATACGGGCCTATTTTTTCGACTAATATTCGGAGAATTTCTCCAGGTTATAACGAGTCTTTGTACGCCTAATTCACGCCTGATGTCCAGGTTTTTAGAGCCCGTGAAGGCGACATGCGGGGCTGGATGTGGAGATGTAGCCTGAACACGCTATGTCTTAATTCGATACTCGCCATAATAGCGCAGGAGGCTGCATTGTAGCAGAGAATTATCACAGCTAAATATAATTTCGAATAGCTGTAGCCTGCTCATGGCTCGGATCTTATTTGTAAAAAAAACAAACAAAACGCAGAGCTTTAACGCGCTGGAGCTGTTTACAACAATGCAGCGCAACAAAAAAAAAAAAAAAAAAAAGGAAGCTCCGGCGAGCCCAGTCTCCTGCACAGCAGAGAGCCGCTCCATGGCGCTCTGCAGCCGCACAGCCGAGCAGGCAACAGTCGGGGAGAGAGAGGGGGGGGGAGGAAGAGAGAACAGCAGGCTATGCATGGAGGGGCGATATCTCATCGTTTCATATCTGGAAGAATAAAACGCACAAACACAGAAGAAGAATAAGAAAACAAAAAGTCCTAATACCTTCCCGTCTCATGCCGACTTTAAGGCATTTTTTGAGGCGGCAGTACTGACACTGATTGCGGTGGTGTTGGTCGATTGGACAATTCCTGTTGGCACGACATGTGTAAGTGAGGTTCCGTCGTACGCTCCGTTTGAAGAAGCTTTTGCAGCCCTCGCAAGTAAACTGGCCATAGTGTTTGCCACTGGATTTATCCCCACACACCACACACTCAATGTGCTGCGGCTGCTTCTCCGACTGCTGCGACGTCTGGTTCGACGGCGTGGACTGCGTGTTGTTCGGGGGTCCTTGGACCGGCGTCTGAGGGGTCGGAGGGGCGACCTGAGAGGCTGTCAGACTCAACTGGCCTGGCTGAGGGGTGGGAAGAGATAGTCCTCCTTGGGTCTGCGAGGAAAGGGTGCCTTGGGTGTCAGCCACATCGTCCTGGGAGCCTCTCCACACTACCATTGCCATATCTATCAGTCAACGTAAAGAAACTTTTTGTCTGCCGTTTTTGCTGTCGCGGGTGGAGAATGTCTCTGGGAAACGAGGCAAAAAAACTGTGACACACAAAATGTCAAAATCTAGCCTACGTTGAATCCACTCCCGGAAAAAAAAAACTGTCGATTTATTGCTGTTGGAGACGCTGCGAAGCACGTTTTCAAAACTGATGCGATGGCGAGCTGATTCGCTGCCTTGCGCTTAAAGGCCAAGTCCAGGGGCGCTTACAGTCAGCCATCCAGCACAGCCATCAATGGGAGAAGACAGGCTAAATATTCAAATACCCAACCGAGGTAGCATGGATTACTCAGAGGAGGATGGAGCAGGTTGGAGAGAGCGCGCCTGCAGCAGCATGAAACAGTCGGTGAAGCACCCTGTAGCAGCCACTATCAAGTTCCAGCACAAGTCTTGGAAGAAAATCACCAACTGGGTAAAAAAAATCGCGTCTTCTTCCTTTTCTTTCCTCTGAGGTGCAGCGCCAAGCAAACCGCGCGGCTCAAGCCAATGTTTTTGAGAGGCTGGAATATGAAGACAACTCTCCCCAACGCAAAGAAGAAGAAAAAAAAAAAGCGAAAGCACTAAAAACAAAAAAAAACAAAAAACAGAGATCACAACCTAGAAAAACCTCCTCCGTGGACCGAAAAATAATCGGAAAAAGGAGCTCTGAATCAAAGTGATCAAATATGTTAAAAAGGCGGAGGTTAGGAAGTGATTTGCGATTGGTAGGAGCCGGGCTGGCAGAATGCTTTCTCTCTGATCAGCTCACTGAGCTCTCTATATAGTGAACTTTGACACGACTGCTGCAACTTAGCACACGTTACCATGGAGATCTGCTGCCATATAAGGAAGGAGAGTGTGTTTGACTGGTCAGAGCTCAGGGACCTCCCCCTCAACCCTATTGGCTAGTCGGCACTTGTGCTACTTGGTACCTTGCCAGAGCCAGCATGGAGGTCGAGAGGGCCGCTTGGTCCTAAAAGGAGACGGGTTTTTTTTTTTTTTTTTCTTTTTCGAAAAAGAGGACTCATTTCTAGTCACTCTATACACACAGAATATAGACTGTTATCACATGCACGGCCGATATAGAATAAGAAAATGAATAGGGTAAAAAGCATCCTATCCTAGACAGTATTCCATCACAACAACAACAAAAAAGAAAGGTGCAAAGAAACACAGGTGTACCATCTTGACCTGACATACAGGCTATACTCATTATAATAAAACTGTCCTAATCTATTTTGCACTTATCTGTTACACACATAGCTGCAAAGGTAGACTCCTTAAAAGAACACAAAAAAAGAGAGGACACTCGGGCTGTTTTGTACTTTAAACAACACACATAAAAACCAACAATAAAAAAAGGTGAGGATGTACTTGGTCCGTGCATTTGAAACGACTCACCCACCAGGTGAACGAGACAATAAAACGTGCATTTCCACATTTCTTCTCCAATATCTGCACCAGATAATACACCTATTAGTATTTTCTTTTTAATAAAACTAGGTTGCAGCATCCATCACCATTCACACTTCTTATAAAAATGTTATGATAGGCTCTTAACATCATACCCCCCCCCCCCATGCATGGACACATAGACCACCAAGCAGCAAGCAGCACAGGTCACAAAGGCCAAACGTGTGTCCCCTCAAGTCAGAGCTGTGTCGTCATGTGGTCAGCACGTGAAATGACAGTACAGCTTTAAATAGGGACTGCATTTAAAAATGGTCACACGAGGTCAGATGGCATGCCCTTCACATTAAGTTTAGGATGAACGCATAGCTATGTACCTCACAAAGAACAGTTTGTGACCATTTACCTTATAATGATGCCCCCCTATAATAAAGACAATGTTATAATTCACACAGGGAAGGATTGTAAAACGGGGTCAGCCCAATCATTTTCTTAGGCTTATATTTCATTTCACTGCATGTCCTGAGGTGATCAAAGTTTGACCGCAGGTATAACTTCACCATATAGACTACATAAATATACAACCAGGGCTGTGTGTTAAAGTCTACACAGAGCAGCAGCAGCAGCAGCAGCAGCAGCAGCATGCATTGTCCCAGGATGTATGACAGTATATGGGTGCCCCCTAGCGTATGAAGTTTCTCTGCTCCCAATAAGATTCAATTTAGAGGAGCCATCCGACACGGAAACTGCTTCAGTCTCGTCTCCCGCATCGAGCAAACTAACGAGCACCATTTTAAACTGATGACTGTTTGTTTAAATTCCGCTGTACATGACTTGGACGGCGAAGCTTTGACAGTTGCCAAAGTTGGATTTACTTTTTCGCCACTTCAGACAGGTCCCAGCGGTAGTATTTAGACCAATTATGTCTTTATTCTAAAACAAATGAGCCAATTATATTTTGTCTGCATGACTATTTTGTCGGTTTTTATTTACAGATCGCTTGAACATGAAGAGTATGCAGATAAAAAAAATACTGCGTGAGGTACCGATGGTGCAGCTTTGCTTCAAACGGTGAGTAGCCTACATTTTGTGCACTTTATTAAGATAAATTGGTAAATTAGCTACGCTGTCTTTCTCTGTATAAATTAAATAATCCAAATAAGAGGAACTGATTATCTGTAGTAATAACAGACACGGACTGCTGCACACAGAGCATATAGAAATGTACATGTGCGATAATTCTACTGTGCGCATTAAATACGCGTCTCGGTCCTTTACCTAAATAAAATGATCACAATAAGCCCAACTAGACTGCAAATACTCATTCATAAAGAGATCTGATAGTGATATATGAGGCAGGAGGATGTATTCTCATACACCTACCAAATGCATACGTTGCTGATTCGTCCGTAGCGGGATGCATCTTCTCTTTCTCTCTTTCTCTTAATATATTTAGTCTTCAGTATTTCGACACAGTGCTCAGACTGAACCTGGCAAAGCGTCCTCTCCAACAGACGGGATCAAACACAAAAAAAAAGCACGTTGTTTATTGGAAAACTGCAAATGGTCTGATCATGCAAAAACTTTGGAGAGCCGAAACCATGCAGCAACTGCTTGACGTTATGTGTTGTTGAGGCGAGAAATTGGAAATATAAGTTGACGTGTCGTCCGAGCAGAATCACATTAGACTGGCTGTTGGAAATGATAAGTAGGCTTCAGAACGCGCAGAGATCCATGTGCGCCTTTTCTCTCCTACAGTAATGTGGTGCCGCTGCTTTGTGTGGGCTACAGAGGAGAGAGGGAGGGGTGCAGCCACACAGACACCTGTCTTTAAGGGTGGCGAGCAGCCTTTATTACATTCTGCTTATTAGAAATTATATGCAGATTAGAATACAGTATGCAATAAGACATGGGATTAGAGGCTTAATTAAGAATTTCATTTTAGTGTAAAAATAAAGATTCAGATATATTGAAACATCTAAAAAATGTGGCTAATTAAAAAAATATATTACTATTTTTATTATTATTATTATTATTATTATCATTTAATTCTACTGATTTTAACAACTTAAAAATAGTTTTTGCACACGTAACATTCAAAGTAAAGATTTAGGCGACTAAATAAACTATGATATTATTTTTTCTATTACCCCTCTAGCAATTTAACATTAAGAAGAGAATAAAAATAGATACATGTAAAATGATAATAGCCCCAATTTACCTCGGCTGGTGGGAAAATTTGACCAATTTTTTCACGCGTAAACATATCACAGCAACACAATTGATGTGCCATTAAAACCCACAAAAGTCTTGAAGTGCTGTACTTATTATTTCCCGGGTTGCAAAGTTTCCTCCGGTTGATAGGACTAGTTCTCCTTTTGAAGCAGAGGAGAAAAGCCTTGTATGTGTCTGCATGCACACAACAAAAGCGCCGCCCAACGGGACCAGTATCGATTAAGACGAGACAGAGGATGTCGCCTGCACTAAATATTTACTGATCACACACAAATAGCTGGATCCTTAACGATTTCCCATGCTCCGGCAGGGAGAGAGGACTAAATCACTTTATTATTGTTAGTAAAACAAAGCGCAGGCGCTGGAACACAGGAGTGCAGATGTGCTGATTGGGATAAGTGCAGTTAAATTAATCGATAGTGAGGAGATAATAGTTGAGATTTACGGGCGTGCAGAGAGAGAGATTTCACTCATGAGCAGGTTAAACTGGCACGTGCACTGTGATTGGTAATTTTACTTTAATGCCAACATGCGCGCGGGGGAAAAAAAAAAGAATACATTCAACAGTTTGTAGATTAAAAGTTTAAAACGGTAAAAGTACAAAACTATCAGCGTGACGTGGGGTTACATTTCTTACATATTTCTAATTTTTAAAACATCTATAAGATAAACCATGCAGAGGAAAAGATTGTCATGCATCACAGAAAGAAACTGCCTCAAAAAGCGGCGATAGAAGTCTAATCTGGAATAAAAGTGCTTTAATGTCATCTCTTCCTTCATTGAGTCCTTCACCGTAGATAGAGACACAGTGACCCGGGGGTCTCCGGGTCCCCGCCCTGATTAACCCTTCAGGACCCGCGCAGGAGCAAATGTTAACCAGGCTAATCAACTTCAAGAGTCTGACTGAATTAGAAGACTGTTGGATCAGCAGGCATTAAATTGTCTCACTTCAAAAAACATGGAAAAAAAGTTGGAATTATTTAACAACATGGATTCAATTTAAATTATAACAAATAATCCCCCAATAAAACAAATGTCAACATTTGTTTATGTGCAACATGCTATTAGTATACAATTAAATGAATATTCAGAATATTTTGAAAAATTAAAACTCTTTATCACGGGTATAAAAGTTTTTCCTGCTTGATACAGATCACTTGATTGATGATGGTGGTGGCCCATGTGTGTTAGGATCCGCTGCATTGCATAACTAGTAAAGATGTTTATGTTGCTTCTCTTTATAACAGTGCTTTAGTGTTGTCATGCTGTCACTTGCAGAGATGGGAAAAAATGAGCAATTAGTTCGTGTCAGCTTTACATTTAGTTTCACTAAGGTGAAGGACATTTGCTGAATAAACATAATTAAAGTTTGAAAAAGTTTATTTGGAATAACATGGCAAGGTAATTACAGTTAGATATATCAGCAAAATCTTGTCATATAAGGAGATTTTAACCTTAAAGATAAAAAACAAGTTCCAATTCATTCATCGTTTTACTATGTGTAAGATCTCACGAAAAAATACTATTTGGATGTTTCATCTCACATATGGCTTTGAGCATGTTGTTACATTCATAATTTCTTTAGATAGAACTCGTTTTCTTTGTGGTTGAATTTAAGAACGGTTTTTACAGACTTTTAAAACTTTAGTATGCAGGTCTTTGAAATTGCTTTTATGTTTTTTTTTGCCTTCTTTTTAATATATGCCTAGAAAATTTGCACACCATTATTGCAATTAAATTCACCTAAAGGGAAAAACAGCATGTGCATGTTTCAGATTTGAATGTATGCATGCGCATGTTTACTATAAAGAGCTATGTCTGCACACTCTGAGGAAACAATGTATAACAATCTCTTTTAATGTGAAGGTGTGCGTTCATGTAAGCATGAATCCATGTCTTTTTGAAAGAGTTCCTTTAGTGCTGTGGATCTCTCTCTCTCTCTCTCTCTCTCTGCGTGCCTCAGGGGGCTGCTATCTAAAAAGGCAATAGATCCCAGATAGCTCACAGTGTTCAATTTGCCAATGATAGATTATAGTGCCAATTTAAACAGATAGGGATCAATTTGTCTCAATGATCACTCTTTAGGCTGACTGCCAGCGTGCTCTTAATGTATTTGTAAATGCTGCTTGTTCAAATTGCGGCTGTTAGGTTGAAAGTGATAAAAAGTGTAACATGGAGAGATGATATGAGAAATGATAAATGATGGCTTGTTTGGACTGCTAAAGACTCCACGGATGGAGCATGCGTGGTGACGACTTGAGGCGGCAGCATTGTAGAAGTGATGACCAGAAGGTCAAGGGTTTAACTGGGAGGACTCGCTGGGAAAGTCTGGGTAGGGGAATTGTACGATGAGTGCTCTCTAACCCTCAGGAACCACTGCTGAAGTACTCTTCGGCAAAGCAGCTTAAACTCCATCTGTCCCCAGTGGAGCTGCACAGCCACCAGCTGTACAACACTGTGTCTTTTTGAGTGTCACCCACCCTCCCTCTTTCTTTTAAAGAGTGGGCAGTCCACTTGCCTCACACCTTTTTTTTTTTTTTTCACCCTGTGTACTCAGACAGTGATAAAGTTTGAGAGAAGACACGAGAGAGGGAGAGAAAGCTGCTGCAGCCAGACATGGTTCACATGTGGCCCCAGAGGCAGCAGACAGTGGATTGAATTACGGTAACACAAGGTGTAATGTGGTAGCAGGGTGGATGTCAAAGGAGCGGATGTAAAGGAGGGGCGCTCCAGCTTTCTATTACACCTAATTAATGTTTGATTATGTGTTTTATTTTTCTCATATTTCAGGTAACTATTAATTAGTTCAAATGGCAGCCATGCTTTCTAGAATGACCACAAATGTGTAATTAGGACGATTGCATGATTGTTGTTCACAGTTTTAACAAACAGTATAACCGCATACAGAATGATCTGAAAAATCAAATCGAACACTGCACAATCATAGCTCTTGAAGATCTCTGAAATGTCTCTGAGATGATTAATAAAGCATTACTGTTATAAAGTAATATGTAGTGGTGTGTCTAATTGCAGTTTGACTTCTTACATGTCACACGTTTAACAAATAAAAGTTGTAAGACTTAATATGAGACGTGTTTTGTTTTAGTCCACTGGAAATATTTTTCAGCTGCCTGAAGAAATGCCGTCAAACTCGACTATGATGGGCTGAAAATAGAATGCAGCTCATGATTTGTTTAATTGTTTTCGACACGTTCCTAGATCACTGCAGGTTATATGATGATCTGTCTTTTATCTTAGCATTCAATGAAAAACATCAACATGCCACTCTATACATTGTGTAATGACATGCATCTTCCTGTGCTAATTTACACCACACTATTCAATGTCTGGAAATTAGAGCTAACTGGCGTAAAGGGGGAAATTAACTACAGTGACATATTACTTGAGGTGCGTTTAATAGTTCCAAGCCTACAGACTGCAGCCTGAGGAATTAATAAAGCTTCAGTGTTTGAACATAAGAATTTATTTCTCTGTGAAAGTGCTGCAGACATAAGCTTTAAAACTATGAACAAACCTGCAGACCATTAATATTGATGATGTTAACTACATCTTTGCTTCCACAGGTACGGATTCAACATTTGTGAGTGAAAGACATCGTATAATAGCACATACTGCCATGTGATGCATTTCAGTCAGATCCACATGGGATCAAGGGTCCTTTTAAAGGGATAAAAGTGAATGGAATGTGAATAGAATTTGGTTGAATCTTTATACGAGCTTGGGTTGAAAGAAAAAAAAAAAGGTTTTCTCGGTGTGAGGATGACCTCAAGGTAAAAAGCCATTAAGGAACAGGAATCACTTATTCACAGGATCTCGGTTACTTAATCGTCACACGAGGACATGCAGAAGCTGCTTCTAGAGCTCACAACACGAGAGTCAATACTCCCCGGACGACGTCATCCAGCCACGCAAATCTCAAGACTTGCTCCACTGACAATGAATCGAGAAAGGTATTTGAGGAAATGTGATCGTGCACAGAGGTTAGCAAAGGACATGACATTACTTTGCTCTCTGAAACTGAGAAGTAAACAGCGTGTGTTTAACCATCCTGTTTTTTTAATCTGCCAACAACATTTGATCATGCTATTTGTTTTTATCTCATTGAAATGATTTAATAACTTCACACTGAGCAAAACTTTTCTGAGCGGTTATTATACTCTGCAAACATCCTTCATAAAAGGTAGATGATTGAAGAAAACAAACAAAAAACGTATTACTCAGTGTTTCTAAAGTGCATGTAACAATGAGCAAATAGTTAACTTTACCTTCCTTTTCTCTTGAAAATGTATGAAACAGAAAATGTATGTTACATTAAAACATGAACATGTTGTCGTTCACCATGTACGGAGGCTACAGTCCTCCAAGCGGGCGGGCCCAGGTTCAAATCCGACCTGTGGCTCCTTTCCCGCAGGTTGTTCCCCACACTCTCTCTCTCTCTCCCCGATTTCTGACTCTATCCACTGTCCTATCTCTAAAATAAAGGCATAAAAAGCCCCCCCCCCCCAAAAAAAAAAAAAAAAAAAAAACATGAACATGCTGTTGAATTATTGGATAACCTTCAATATAACATAACAAAATCAGTTTTTATTATGGCTGAATTGTAGACTTAATAATGGAAGAATGAGTTTGGAGAGAAAGCTACTGTGCTCGTTTCAGAATAACTAGAGGCTAAGGGAAGACATGATTAAATGCAAAAAATGTTTAAAGTGTAATGAAGTGTTTTTAATGTGGGGTTTAAGTAGCTATAAATTACTCATACAAGGCGTGCACAATGTATTTTTATTGATAGATGACATGAGAAAAAACATCAGTGTTCAAACAAAACAAAAGGACTCTCTTACAAGACATAGTGTTGACATCCAAGGAGATTCATACTGTGGAGCGCTCTCACAAAACACTTGTAGCTGAATCAGCTTTGCTGAATTACATTCAAAGATCTTACATGTGTTTGTGGATCAATCGGCAGGCGAGCTATACACGGCGATGGTGTCTGCAGAGCGTTGCAGTCAGAGCATCTGGCATGGAGACACTGGAAGACATTAAAGCAAACAGAGAATAAAAATGAACTTATTAGCCGAGTGTAAACAATGGCTCCTGCATGATCACCACTGTCTTTGTACTAAAGAGTAAATGCTGTAAACTGGTGTAATTCCCATGACAACAGCTGGCACAGAAGTGTGAAACAGACTATGTGTTTTTGTTGTCTGAAGTTTAGAAGGAAAAATATCAGAAGGAAAATAACACAACACAAACATTCTGTTGGTACCAGTTTAATGTATTAGTGGATTTGTAAATGCTAAGGTTAGCAGTGTTCTAGCGCTTAGGAGGTTCATACATTCTGAGCTGTAGGAAGTCATAGCGATATTGAGCTGCAGAAAAAAATTCCTGGTTTTACTATTCTGCATCTCTTCTTCTTAGAATGAAGGTATTATAATGTATCCATGTCGTGTAATGTAATGGCACACAGGTTGATAATGTAAATTAACAATATGACTTATTGACCGTTGAAAATTGGATTTTAATCCCTAAAAACAAATGATCAGTTTGATGTCAACATGTTTAACATATATGGATGAACATTTTGTATAAAAGCACATTATTAATCATAACTGACATGTGAATCCGGTGTGTGTTTTGGTTATTTATTCACTTGCAAACAACCAATGAACCTCCTACAAAAGTAATTGTACATCTCATCACTCTCGGTGTGTGAGCTGTGGTACCCTGTACACCCACCTAACTAATTTGCTAAATCACTACAATACAAGTAATGATAGTCTATTGCTTTAATAATCTGCAGTGTGATCATTTTTCAGCCATAAAGCCATGAACTCAAACGGTAAAGGTAATAATCTTAAAGACTGCTTATTTCAAAGAGTGATTTATCACCCTCTGATCATTAGCCTGCTTTAGTGTTCTGATTTCTAGCAGCTTTTTTGATCCAGATTTTGGTCTATGAATGAATCGTAATAAAGCCTAGCTTATAAATAAAGAGTGTGACTGATCTCTTCCAAGAAACATAGAGTAAGGGGGAAAAATTCTGTAGAGCCAGGTTGTTAAACCGGCATGTCAGTGGGCCTATAATGCAAGGATTATCTTCAATAGAAAAAATGTGTACACTGATTCATATAACAGGCTAGTAGCACTAAAGAGAAGTCATTCTATGGATCCTACAAGAGTCATCTGAAACATAAAAGGTTGAGCCAAAACATAGATTCTCTTTGTCCTGGATACATTCAGGTTTCTTGTCAATAAAATAAACGTATAGTTTGTGAAAAATAATTATTTGCAGCAAGTTGTAATGCAGCATAAAGGTACAATGAATACCAACATGAATATGTGTGATACTTGCCACCTCAGTGTATATAATGATATAAAGACCTCTGTTTACTTCTGAACTCTGTAGTGACAAAAGGGGGGTCGCTGTGCTAAAACACACAATAAAAAAAACACCACACTGTTTGCAGCTCAAGGTGAAAACAAACCATAAACTATAAGACACCCCATAATAATATAAGTTCACATACCCAGACTGTGAAAAAAAGTAAGGTCCATTTCATCAAGCTAATTGCCTGTTTGTGAGCGGGAGCAAACTTTTCTAGCAGCACTCTATTACGGAGGCTCTTTCTTAATCATAAATAGAGCCCTTGTATCCCAGAGGGACTTGCTATTCTAATTTACAATTGAACTAAAGACCAAAGCTATCAATCTTTCACAGACACTTTATTTCTGCCCCCCCTTCCCTCTTGTAATTGTGGTGACATAACCATAAACAACAGAGAAAAGGCTGCTGTGACTGATCTGTGGAAATGACAGCATTAACGCATGAGCTGCACATAAGCACTCCAGCCTGCACATGAGTGTAAGCACATACACACTCACACACACTCACACGTGCACACACACACACACACACACACACACACACACACACACAGCAAGTTGGAATGAACTGTACAGTCAGACAGAGGGTGACATAAGCTTGAATTCTGACCTGATTTCGGCATTTTGTGTGATGTGCAATGAGGTTCATTTGCAATGAGCACATTCTTTATAAATCAGTTGATACCCATTTAACAGCCACTTTGAAGTGTTATTGTCTCTTCTTTTTCAGGTAATAATACTGATACAATGGCAGGTAATTAATTACATTCTTATGAGTTTCACAATTATGAATAGTTCCTCCTTTCTGCAGAAGTAAATGTTAGTTGTTGGACCTCAGGGAGTGTAGTTGCTAACTTGGTGGTGGCTAATGGGGATGAAAACAAACAAACAAATAAATTAATAAATACACGGCGTAATCAAAAAGAGGTGAATGACATTTTTCACAACATGGAAAACGAAATATCACGCTTATTTAAGCCTTATAACTGATCTACTAATCTATAATATAAGCATTCAAATATATTTTCTTTACTTTGACAAAACTAAATCTTAATTCTTTTTAAGGGTTGTTTTATCTGAAGGTCTGATACATGATGTAAGATGCTTTCATGTACACCTACAGAGCAGTGAATGAGACAACAACAGGACTCAATAGGTTCACATCATCATAAAGCACTGTGAAGGTCTCATGCTGTCAGCATGCTGCTGTCGAGCCCTGCACACATTCCTGCCTGCAGCGGTGGTGGTGCAGTGTCACCACCGCTGCACCGAGCCTCCGTGATGCCTTTAATGATGAGTCTTTTCATTAATGAGTTAATGCAAAAACTCTCAATGTCATCAGCAAAGATAAGAGGGAAGAAAGCGGTGCATTGTACACATAATGACAGGCTCCCTGCCTGCCCCTGAGATGTCACGGGTCAGCCATGTTAAGAATGTGTGTGCCCAATCATCCCCTGATCTTTATCTGCCAGGCCTGCAGCTAACCATGACATGGGCCCAATCAGGGGTGCTGATGAATGGACAAAGGGGCCCTTGAATTGTTGAAGCTGCCACATGACTGCTTCTCTACTAAATCATGATGACATTAGCAATCAATATACCAATTACTGAACAAGATATTAAACATGTTCTGCAAGGCAATGATCTCTGCGGGCTGAATACTGTACGTTTTGTGGATT